AACACACTTATCCATTCCCAGCCCATCCAATGAACGCTCATCATTGCCCAGCCTATCCAATGAATTTGCGGAACTTGATTAATTCAGTAAGTTAATACAACTTGAATATTAAGTATTAAATCATCTAAGATATAATCAGTTTTATATCATGCCCTTTAGAGCATTGTATTGGCATAGCATTGTTCTATGAGATTATATTTTTAATTATTAAATCTCGTTAGATGTCAAGAAGCGCCTTGCATCTCGTGTTCCACCACCATTCTCATCAGCTGTTTGTAGGGTTTTAATTTACTATAAGTTCTTTCACAATCATTTATTTGATGGCTAGTAGCAGCGATATTCGTGACGTCAAATCTTTCATAAGAAAAATTAATATTTTTAGATAAATTCTTATAAAACTTTCAGCTCCATGATATGTTCAATTACTTTTTGTGCCTATAGGAAAAATTAATTTGATTTAGTGATTTGCCCATGCACGCAAATTAATATCAAAAATATTTGGCTTGATTTTACTACCATTTAAAATATGTTATCTAAAGTCATACTCTTTGTATTTACTAATATTTGTTCTCAGATTTAATTTCGCTCTAGAATATGAGTTTTTCTAAGATAATTCAATATAGTTTTGAGCGCCAAGCATAGTTTTATTTTTCTTGAATTTCAATATAATTTTCAATTATACTATAAATTTTCTAATTTATAAGTTCTGCAAGTTATTCATGTTCGTGTTCAGATTTAATTGAACTCTAGAATTTGATTTCTTCTTTAAAAATTCATTATAATCTTAGTGCCATTATAGGCAATTTTATCTTCAATATCCATTTTGTTCTGGATTACTACAACTTTTAGAAGATTAAAAATTACGTCATATCCGATGATAGTTTATGGTTGAAGGTGATTTTTCAACCTAATTTTAAATTATTATGACAGTTTTTCTTTGGTTCGACTACTATCAATGGATAGAAAAACAACCGAATTTTCGAGTCATTCCTTATACTAATCCTGCACTTGCACACTTTACTTGGATATAGAAGATGTAGAGTACAGATTGGATAGGGTTTTTGTCACAGATGCGTTCTTGGAGTGGTAGAATTATATTTCTTGTGCTTCAGTCTAAAGTCTTCAGGTATGGAACATTGACTCAACTTGAGTTACCAATAAAGGCTAGAATACTAATGTTTTATCTATATATTGAATTGGCCATGTAGCATTAGAAGTACATGCAAAATAAGGTCATACATCATGAATGTACTTTGCACATTGATAGCACATAGTAATTTGTGAGCAATCAATTTGAAAATATATGACCAATAAATAAACTATGACCTATAATTCATTTTGTTTGTAATCGATGAAATAAATTATGACTGATAAGTGTGTTTTGTAGGCACTCTAATGGCCTATTTATTGATGAAATTGAATAAATTATTATTCATAATTGTGTAATTATGGTGTTTGTAAGCCAAAATCCCAAGTTGAAGGAGAAAATTGCTAAAGGAAAAGAGGACAAAAAGTGCAAAAAAAAAAAAGAATTTAGGGACCAAAGTGTACAAGTGCCAAAAGTTTTAGGACCAAATGTCGCAAATTTTGGAGGGCACAATTGAAAGAAAATTCCAATTTTGAGGACTAAAATGTACATAATCAAAGTTGAGGGATCTAGTTTGCAAACATGGGAGTACTTGAGCTACAAATATTGAAAATGAGATGTGGTACTGTAGCTACGCCGCAGCGCCACTGTAGTAGAGCCACGGCACTATGCCTTTGTCCCTTGTAGTGCTGCAACGCCATTTTCAGAGCGCCACGGCAGCGACTAAGGACCTATTTGTTTATATTTTTGTAGATAGGGATCATTTTGCAATTACAAAACACGATTTTTGAGTCATTTAAAAGGCAAAATTGATCCATTTTTCTCTCATTCTTCATTCACTTAAAAAACCCAATTTTAGAGAGAACATGGGGCAAGCAAAAAGGAGAAGAAATACTATAACAAAGAGAGAAAATCTTGATGAAATCAAGACCAAAACCAAGCAAGCCTCAAGGATCCTACTAAGGGACGGGTTTATTTCTTTGTCTTGTATTTCACATTATATTTTTCTCAACTTTTGTGATTTATTTCTTCAATCCTTTCATTTTGTGCCTTACAAATACAATGGGCTAAACATTTTGGTGTTGGGATGAATGAGGAAGCTTGGCTTAATTATATAAATTTATTTATTCACTATTTAATGCTTATGTTCTTGTGTTTTTACCATTGTTTTGAGTGCATTATCATTATTGTGGCCATTATGTGATAATGTCTAGTGATTTGTATGATTATTGAGAAATTGTCGCACATTTTAGACTAAGGTGGTAGAAACCCTAAGTTCTTTGGAAATAGAGATATATTCCTAGCCCTAGATAACCCTTTGAGTTATTTTCATTAATATTTAATGCTTTCGATTGTGTTTAATTGACATAAAGATACAGTAGGTTAAACCAATTGATTAGGGTTAGTTTCACTTGAGAAAGGTCATTAACTAAAATAGGAAAATTAGGTTTGATGAGAAAAGTGAGCAATGTACTATTGAATTGTTTTGAGGAATTAATTTAGTGATAGCCAAGTGGAATCATGAATCCCAACCAGATTAAAATCTAACTCCTATCATAATCGCATTTGGGTATTTCACTTGAAAGCTTAGAATCATTTTATTTTAATGTTCTAATTCAATGATATTAATTGTGTGTGTCTTGACTGTTTTTCGAATTAACTCCCATGTAATTGGAATAAACACTCTTCGAGGAATTGACTCGGACTCAAAAAGTCCAATCAATAACTTGTGCGCGACCCGTGCACTTAAGGTGTAGAATTTTAGCGAACAATGACCTATAAAATTTTTAATCTGTGCCCTAGAGAAAATCTGTGACTAACTAATTTGATAATATATGACCAATAAATAAGTTGTGAGCTATAATTATGTATATGTGATCATTAATTGTATAATTGTGACCTTATTATATTTAATTAATAAATATTCTTAAATAATTAGTTAATACTTGATTTTTGCATTCTTTTTTAAAACTTAAAACCTAATTTTTGAATTGTCCATACTTAATACATGACTTATGAATTTTTCTCAAACAAAAAAATGGGACTTAATAAGACGCTCAAAATATTTGGACACAACTTACATTCTTGGTTTAATGAATAAAATGGACCTACTATTTAACTATTACCTAGTTCTGTCTCTTCTTTTTACATTCTTGGTTTAATGAATAAAATGGACCTACTATTTAATTATTACCTAGTTCTGTCTCTTCTTTTTTTTTTTCGTTTTTTTTTTTTTTTGCCCCTTCATACCTGCCAAAATCTAGAAAAGAAAATTATGGCAATCTTCCATATATTTTTTTTTCTAAGCTTATAAAGTTTCTTTAAAATTTAAAAATTAATTTTTATGAAAGTTAGAAGTAAATTATTATTTTAAAAGTGATCTTTTTATTTATATTTAAGAGTTTCATAACAATTTGTCGCCTAGGGTGACAAGGTCTCATATTTCTCAGGCTGGCCCTGGGTAAACCAAATGGGTTTTACAGTGAGCTCAAAGTGTGGTATGATTTGTGATTTGAGTCTTAAACTTGATAAATTATATAAGGGGGAGAAAATGTACTTGGTGCAACATGCAAGGGCGGATTGGTTATAGCTGTGGGATAGAGATACAACTTACTTTCACCGTGAGGTAGCGGTCAAATTTTGAGAAATGAAATATTTGTCTTACTGAAAATTGAAGGCGTGTGCTTTTCTGATATAACCACTTCTTGTCAATCGGACATGGGGCATTTCTCGGAAAAGAAGTTGGATTAATATTAGAGCTATATGGCAAAGACATTTACGACATTTGATACCAGATATGCACTGACTGGTATTGTCCCGTTTAACGCTTCTTGTATGAATGGGTTTCACGTGGATTTCTATCAATGAATTGGGAGGAACATCATTTAGTTTAGTTTTTCTTAATAAAAATTAGAAACTAAATTCTATAAATGGTAACTAAATGCTAGAAACCACTTTATGTAATTTTATCTACAAAATCATGGTTGTAGTCCAATCTATACCCACACTACACAATGAGCATTGGTAGGGGAAAAAGATGGGGCACATAGGAAAGAATGTGTTAACAGAAATACCGAGGAGGAATTTGTTCTGGAGATTTTGTTCCAATTGCACGATAAAGCTGGTCAAATATTAAAGCCTCCTTATAACGATCCAGCCTCTTTTGTCCAAGCTGTTAACTTATGTATTGTCCGCTTTGAGAGAGTTTAACTCATCTTGCCCCCATGACTTTCCATTAGATACTTGAGAATTCAAACTTAAGACCTAAAGAGACTAACATTGATTAAGCCACAGCTATATTTGGACAAATCATTTATCGGAATTATATGGGCAGTAGCTATATTTGGATAAATCAATTATGGGTATTATATAGACAGGATATGATTATGGACTGATTATAGTTTTGGCTTATATATTTTCTCTGTAAATAATATTTCTATAAATAGTCCCAGACTTGACATATAAGTACAGGAAACCATCATCAATGAAAATATACTGGAATTTATCTTTTCCTTCATGGTATTAGAGCCATAACAGGCCAACACCGAACATTTTTTATCCACTTTCCCACCTCCTTTCAATGGCAAAGATACCACAGTCAGAGGAGTCCGGCATTTTAGACTTGACAAAGTTGATCACAGAAATGTCCGAACTTACCCCCTCCCCATCCAACTCCTCTCTCCCTCTCAACCACAATATCTCATCACAATTTCCAGTTCTCGTGGATAGGAATAGTTATCTCATAAAAAATACTATGAATCCACCCAACGAGATGACGGATAGAACCGTCCGCCTGGATTTTACTCGAGACAAATTAGTTTTGAGTTGGATCAAGGCAACATCCTCATCTTACACCAAAACACTCAGGCATGGAGCCTATTGGATAAAGGTCTCTCACCACTAGCTGGTAGCCATGTGCGGCTCCTCTGGGATGAAACTCGAACACCTAAATGGGACAATGATGGCCCACTATCTGACTATCAATCGAGTAAAACCACTATTTGATTCATTAAAGCAGACCGGTAGTTCTATAGATGATGATGAACTCATCACCTACACTCTTAACGGACTTGGACTGGAGTTCAAATATTTAGCAACAACACTCCATATGCACCCCGATCTCGAATTTGACCAATTTTATGATTTAGTTTTGAAAGAGAAGCACTTACAGAAGAGACTCAATCTTACCACTACTTCTAGAGTTTCCATGGTAGCTAATCAAAATCAGAATACTTTCCCTTATCATGGTGGCAAGTGGGGACATGGCAGAGGCACTCGTGGTCATGGACAACGATTCCCTCCTTCCAGTTACCATCCATCAACGTGGAATTGGAGTTGCCCTCCTTACAATCAGCCACCACCATCTCTCTCCGACGTATACCTCCCCTTTTTCTCACACCGGTGGCTGCTTCTTCATGCAAGAATCCAATTTATTTTAGGTGTGACAAAAATGGGCCACATTGCTCGTTATTGTCGAAACCATGGGCCTCAGACATTTGTGGCCCCACATGCTTCCTTTCCCACAACAGTCCAAAACTCCACTTGGTGTTTTAATTCCAGGGCAACCCATCATATAACTCCCAACCTATATGGTATTTTAGTTTCTCGCTCTTATACAGGTACAGACACTATAGTTGCTGGTAATGGAAATGAACTAAAAATTACTCATATTGGGAATGTAAAATTAACCAAATCCCAAAAATTATTAAATCTTAATGAGGTTTTATGTATTCCTGTCATTCAAAAGAGAAATTAATTTCCATTTGACATCTTTGTTGTGATAATGCCTATTTTCTTGAATTTGATACTAATGGATTTCGTGGGAATGGCAACAAGACAAGGACTATCCTTGTCATTGGGAATAGCTCGGATAGATTCTATCATATTCAACCATCTCCACTTGACACCAATCGGATAGCTCTCTATGGTGCTCGCACAACTCCACATGTCTGGCATACCCGCCTTGGTCACCCTGCACAATCTATCTTTAATATTTTGTTGCATACATAGAATTTACCTGTTCATTGTACAATTAAATCTTTTAAGAACTGTCATATTTGTCCATTGGGCAAATATTGTCAACACCCTTTAAACTATCATAATCTCCATAAACAATGTCCATTTGATTTATTGAATCTTGATTTATGGGCCCCTCGTATATTGAATCACACGATGGATTTTGTTACTATTTATCCATTGTTGATGATCACACCCAATTCACTTGGCTCTATTCATTGGGACAAAAATCATAGGCTTTCTCCACCTTCATTACATTTACTAAAATGGTTGAAAATTGGTTTATATCCACTAGTAAACAAATTTAAATTGACGATGGAGGTGAATTTATGAGCAATCTTTTTATCTCATTTCTTTGCGATCATGGAATTTCTCACCAAGTTTCTTGCCCACACACTCCTCAACAAAATGAAGTGGTAGAAAGAAAACACCTCTACATTGTGAGTATAGGCCTGTCTCTTAGCCCAATCTCAGCTTCCATTCAAATTTTGGGTAGACGCCTTCTTTACCGCGATATTCTTAATCAATTGATTGTCGACACCTCTTCTCGGCTCCAAGTCTCCGTTTGAACAACTTTTCTCTTAGGTCCTGGATTATACTATCCTTGGGAGTTTTGGGTGTGCTTTTTGCATAGATGACTCACTTCAAGGGATTTCGGTGCCTGACATGACAAGCGGCTGGGTCTATATTTCATGAAATTTTGTTTTTGACAAAACAACCTTTCCATATGCTACACATTCACCTCTTGGTGCAACTTCTATAGCCGTCGGTCCTAACTCCCTTGCTATATCAATTGTAAATTTAATTGGCCCTCATGATATTGATTCCCTAGTTGCACCCATCCGAAATTGAGACCAATTCTTCTCCCTTATTGAGCCCAATTGATCCTTCCAGTAAACTTTCCTGATTAACGCTTGGGTCTTCATCTTCTTTGGGCTCCCTTTCCCTAAGTTAGGTATACATTCTCCTTCCTCGAACCTTACTTTGGACCTACTTTCATCTCATATTAGCTCAACTCTCCAGCTTACCCCTACACAAAACGACACTTGCCCAGATCTCTCCTTCCTGATACTAACCAATGCTTCTCCCTCCTTTTCTCCCGACTCTCCAAACTCTCTGAAAAAGTTTTTCTCCCTCTTCTTCCTCTACTCTCAACCCAGTCCTCACCCCTTATCCCATGCACTATCCATTATATTATTCAATCCCTTAAATCACAAACGTACCAGCTTTGTGGTTGCTTCTCGATATCCTCATTGGATGTTGGCTATGGACGATGACTATACTGCTCTCATGCGTAATAACACATGGACACTAGTTCCAGCATCTCCTTTGATGAACATTAGAGGTTGTAAAGGGGTGTTTAAAGTGAAATGTGAACCGAATGGGTCCATTGATTGTTGTTCACGAAATAATTCTTTCGATTTAACACTACCGCAAGTGTACGGTTCGTAACAAGTAATAAAGTGGATTTTTAAAAGTCCGAATATCGTCCCTCAGAGATTGAGTAGTTAAATTCTATTTAATCTAGCCTTAACCGAATCTAATTGAGTGAAAATGTGATCTAAATGCAAAAAGCCCCAATTTCAACTAAAAACCCTAATTTCAATTGAAAACCCTAATTTCTCAATTAGAAACCCTAATTTCGAAATTTCTCTAATTAAACGACTTAAACACTCAAGTAAATGAAATTAAGCAAGTTTAAAAGCTAATTTATTAAAATGAATCAAATTAAAGTCACTGGGATCACGAATCCCCAATTGAAGTTATAAAAACCCTAATTTCATAAAATTAATGATTCGATGAAAATTTGCCAATTCAATGTTCCTATTCTATCCAATATACTCTCTCGATATATATTAGACCTATTCTTGCACACCACCAGCCTATATCTCTATGGATGATGCAAACATACAAGAATGCATGTAGTTTTGTGAACAATTTAAGAATTACATAAAGCATAGGGGTATATCTCTATCCCCTATCGGACCCTATGTTGATTTACACCTTATCGAACCTATTCCACTTCTCTCGAATGTAAGAAACAAGTCATCAATACTCACACAATCATTGGCCACTAATTGCGGAAGAAAATTAATGCATGTAAATCAATCAAAATATCCAACGAATCTTTATATCAAGTTCATGAAATATAGAATTAAAATAACAAACAACGGCTTGAAATTTGAATTCTTGAACAAAACCTTGAAAACCCCTTTGAATCCTTGTGAAATCGGCTTCAAATTTGTGTTCCTTGTCTCCAAAAGTTGTATTCTTCTTCTCCCTGGACGTTCTGCCCTTTTTTCTGATGAATTTTGGCTTTTATATCATGTCCCCACGGAGCCCCGAAAGAGTTTCAATTAAAAACGGGGTTTCAGAATTTTTTATCGACCTTAAAGCCATGCGGCCGCATGGTGTTAAACCATGCGGTCGTATGGTTCAATTTTTCAGCTCATTTGGATCCCTGCAATACCCTGTGCGGCCGCAAGGAATTATAACCATGCGGCCGCATGATTATAAAATTTTTCCTCCGGATAGTTTTCAATATTTTGGTCATAACTTTCTTTCCTAATCTCCGATTGAGGTGATTCAAAGTGCATTGGGAAGAAAACTCAAAGATGTACA